TGAGCTTCATTATCGATCCTTCCAATGAGCAATCAGGGTTGATTTCCTTTAAGATTGACTGGTTTGACCTCCTAGCAGTCCAGGGGACTGCACTAATTCTCTGCACTTAAATATTTGGAACCACGAGAGGGCGCTCCTATACAAGGAATAATTACTTGAGATTTTCATTTATACTTTTTGAGCAAATACCGCACTATATATTTACATGTTTGTGTTTGGGTGAGAAAGCCAAACAAAATATTTAGTCTGGTTAAAACATATTGCAGATTTAGTACATTTTAGATTTGTCTAAGCTACATAATATCTTGTACTTTATAAAAAATTTAATATCACTAGTACAAGCCTTTTCGATGCTAATATTTTCAATTTAATATATGTCTCACCAGAAAAAGGAGCTCTTGTATAGAGAATTATTCCTGGGATTTTCATTATGAAACTTTTAAATACTTTAGTACACTGAGGTGCTAGTAATTTGCTTTTAAAAGATCTATAACATTTATTTGTTTAACAGCTATACAAACATAATTTGTATAACATCTATAACTTTATTTGTTCTTTACGTTTTATACATTATGCAAAACATATAATATGTAAGGAATTCATAATTTTATTTTATTTAGTATCTCTTAACAGTATAATCCGTTCTTGAACTTGTTCAATGAAAAGACATTGAACTGATAAAAACGTTCCTTATCTGTTCAAAATGAGCAATAGAAGATAATATAAAGTTGAAAATTTGACAAGAGTAGGAGAGTGTCCAGCCATAACAGCAAACCACAGAAGTTGGTTCCTCCTTTGCTTTATCACAATTTAGAGATTTATTTATAGTGAACTGAGCAAGTTTCAACAAAACTGGATTCAAAAATTTAAAAAATCAGAAGATAACATACTTAAACAAGATCAACAAAAACAACAAGATTTAATTATTTCTTTTTAATTAACTATAAGGATGAATCAATATGTTAAATATTATTCTCAATTATACAATAAACAGATATTAAATCTAGAAAAGATCAAACTGTACTTAAATGCAACACATATTATAAAATTTACAGATCAATAAAAAGAAACCCTCAATAAATCACTTACAGAAGATGATACAAATTAAGCAATATGGAATTTGAAATTGAATAAATCCCCAGGACCAATTTTTTTTCTCCAATTCATTATAAGAGCTTCTAGGAAATTTTGATTAAACCATTGATGAACTCAAGTAATGAATAAAATATAACAATGTCATGTATTTCCCCCTTTATGGTAAAAAGCTTTTATTTCTTTGATTTACAAAAAGGGACATTATCCAACTCATCTGGAGTCATAAAAAGCCTATCTCTCTATTGAGCATAGATTATAAGATTTTATGCCAATACCTGAAGAGATTAAATGGCCTTTTGACTGATTAAGTGCCATCAGGTTCGTGTTGATTCTTAGCATCCACATAAATAGACTTCTGTCTTCAACCTGGCCCTTATAGTCTTCCAAAAGTACACCCATAATCTCATTAATTAAATCCATCCAGCTAGCTGCTTATTGTCATCTTCTCTTTCTTCCATTTTTCTTCTCAAGGGAGATAGGTCTCACATAATGTGTCCAAAATATAATAGTTTGATTGAGCCTGGTCATTTGTGCGTCAAGTAAGAACTCTGGATTAATTTGTTCTGTGATTGGTTTCTTTTCTTGGCTATTCATGTCTTCTCTAACACCAAAGTTCAAAAGTTTCAATACCCTTTCTGTCTTGCTTCTTAAATCTACTTTTGCTTCCAAAGAACATCCTAGGGAAAATCTATTGCCTGCATGATTCTAATCTTTGTAGGTATAGACATGTCACATCATCTGAGTATCTTTTCCAAGGCCTTAATTGCTACTCTACCAAGTCCTATTCTGTGGCATGAATTGACTGCTGTTTCTTTATTGCTGCTTTTTTTTTTTTTTTCTGCGCTCAGTCGTTACCGACTCTGCCGTGACTGCTTGGACGAGTCCTTGCAGTTTTCAAGGCAAGTGTTTCGGAAGTGGCTTGCCAGAGCCTCCTTCCTAGAGCAGAGCCCAGCTGGTGAGTGCAGGAGGCGGAGTTTCCGTTGCTTTGCGCCGTTTTCGGGCGAGCGCAGTTTCGCACTTACCGGCAACTGCTCCTGACTCCTTTTGCAAGGCGCCACCAGCATTTTTCCTCCCACCGGAGTGAGAATACCCATTTATCTACTC